ATAATTTTAATATTACGCGCTAGTAAATTTACAGCAATACTAAATTAGTTTGTATTCAATGGTATTAAATTCTTCAGTAAGTGTAATTCTGAAAACTTAAAAATAAAATGTAAGTTTTTCAATATTTGCAATTTTTAATACAATAATATATAAGAAAATATAGCTCAAGGTCATAGTTAAATATCTATAAATACTACTTAACACCCCAAAGTCAACAGTTAACGAAGTCAACAATTGTTTCACCATTAACAACCATTTAACATAAATATTTGCATCCGTGTTTCTCGCTAGTGTCCAATAAATGTGACGTTTGTGTAACAATCTGCATAAATATAGGTCAAGGTCATAATTAAATTCTATAAATACTACTTAACACCCCAAAGTCAGCAGTTAACAAAGTCAACAATTGTTTCACCATAAATAACCATTTAACATAAACATTTGCACCTGTGTTTCTCGCTAGTGTCCAATAAATGTGACGTTTGTGTAACAATCTACAAGGGGCCATTTGTTGCTAGCGTCCCACTTATGGGACACCTGTTGTACACTTGATATAACGAAGTAGTAAAAAAAAAATGTTATTCTTAAATTTTTATCAGATAGAAATATGGTACTGCTACAAGTTTCAAATGTTAATATTTTAGAAGATATGCATTTTCCTGTGCGCATGTTTACTTATTTCCGCCATTTTGACAAGTCTTGCAAATCCGGCACTATAACATTTTTCTAAATTAATTTTTTTCACAAAACACACACAAATTTAATAGTCTAGCCATTTTCAAATACAATGAAACATAATTTGTGTTTTAACTAGTTTTTAATAAATTTTAGCAAATTTTTTTACAAGCCTCCCATAAGTGGGACGCTAGCAGAATGTGGGTTAAAAATGCAAAATGCATTTTACAAAGGGAACTGCAGCAATACTTTTTAGAAGAGCTTGTTTTGTTGTTTCAATATTTATTGCAGTTATTTTAATAATTAGAATGCCATTAAAAGTATTCACTTTTAATCTTTCTAAAAAATCTTTGCTGGGCTATTAAAATTTTTACATTTATCTTATCTTAGAGATCTTGTTTTTGGCAAAGTCAAATTGAAAGTCAGTGTAATTCTTAGAAATATTTTAGGGAGAAATCAAATAAGGAAAATAATTTTATTCATTTACAGAAATTTCCAATGTAGTGGGATCAGACTATTTTTCTTATTTTAAACCTTTGATGACTCAACCGACATTGTCTTTCAAGGCTTTAGTCACTATCTGATCTAGCTAGATAATATTAATAAGTTACACTAAAGTTTCTAAAGAATATGATTTTTTAAATTCATTATCAATTGAAATTTTAATGATCAAAATCTAAAACTTACTAATTTTTGCAGACCTGACTTCACAAGCAAGCAAACATAATATAAAATTATGTAGTATTACTCACAAATAAACTACTGATAGAATAATTAAAACTCCATGACACTGAAACGAATGGGATGGTTGGCGGGTAGAGTGTGCGATTGCTTTCCCAAACATGAGTTCAAACCCCAGACTTGAGTCCGCAAAATGTCTCTATTCCACTCAGCTGGGCAAAGTGCTCACTACACTATCCCTTCATAATACTTCATATACACGGAAACAGGTGAACTCAACTTCTAATGCCCCATGGATCACTAGTTTCCTTTTTCACTTAAACCTATATTGGATATTGGACTAGGCTTCCTAGCAAGTTTGTAACTAATGTAAGAAATACACTGTCAATATTAAGCTCATCAAACATTGGCCAAATACTTCAGCCACTTCAGTTCATGAAATGACCACACTTGGGGTATCAGCCTTAACATGTAGAAATTTGTTTGTTCTAAACTGCAGAATAAATATTATGGCCTATTAAAAAAATTATAAATTTTCTATTGCTAATATTACTTTTACCTTACAGTATATTCAGAAACCATTATATCAGTATTGATGTTTGTGAATGTTTTGCATTTGTTTCTTCTGCTTTAGCAATGTTCTAATGTTATCATCCCTTAAAAATAGCAAAAACCTTAAAATATTTATAATCTAAATCTTTGTAATTTTAGGCAAAAGACACTCCAGACAGAGATGCTATACCATTATATGATAATGGTGGGAAAAATGTGTACTATAAACCAGTATACCAGTCTATAGATAAACCTCTTTATGATTCTAAGGGAAAACCCTTATATCCTTCTGATGCTAAGGAAAATGGAAAGCCATTATTAGGAGATGATGGTAAACAGTTGCTTGGTAAAGATGGAAGGCCTTTATTTTACAAAGATGGCCTAAATGCATTTGGCAAGCCATTATTTGATGCTGATGGTAAACCAATTTGTGATAGAGATGGAAAGCAGCTGTATGGAAAACCAGTTTATGGTGTACCAATGTTTGATATAGAAGGCAGACCAATTACAGATACTGATGGCAATCCCTTGTATGCCAGACCTGCTGAAGGAGAAGCAGTATGTGACAAAGATGGCAGGCCACTATTGGGTAATAATGGCAAACCATTATTGCATAAAGATGCTAAACCATTTTATGACAGAGGAGGTCATCAACTTCATGGAAAGCCTTTATATGATAAGGATGGACTACCTTTGTACGATGATGATGGGAGACCAGTATATGATAAAGATGGCAACTTATTTTTTGATGAAGATGGCAGGCCTGTACATGATGTCAATGGAAAGCCATTATATTCAAGGCCAGCTTGTGATCATTTTGGAAAACCAATTCAAGATAAAAATGGCAAACCAATGTTTGGTAAAGATGTCAGACCACTGTACTGGGAAGAAGTCTATGACAAAGATGGCAAGCCATTCTTTGGAAAATTATATGACAAGAATGGTCAGCTTCATCCTTATGGACTCGAGAATGCCAAAAAGGTTATTTTTAAAATGATTTCTATTAACAGTGTTTGTTTGATATTTATGTAAACACATCTACTTTGCACATCTACTTTGTGTGTGTATACACATATATACACATATATACACATATATACACATATATACACATATATACACATATATACACATATATACACATATATACACATATATATATACATATATATATATATATACATATATATATATATACATATATATATACATATATATACATATATATATATATATATATATATATATACATATATATATATATATATATATACATATATATATACATATATATATATATATATATATATATATATATATATATATATATATATATATATATATATATATATACATATATATATATATATATATACATATATATATATATGCATATATATATATATATATATTATATATATACATATATATATATATATATTATATATATACACATATATATATATATATATTATATATATACATATATATAAATATATATATAAATACATAAATATACATATATATATAAATATACATATATATATATAAATACATAAATATACATATAAATACATATATATATATATTTAGATAATTATATATATATATATATATATATAAATGTAAAGTATGTTTGCATGTGTGTCCTTTATGCATTACTGCACCTTTTATCCAATTGCCATCAAACTATAGGGAGTTGTTGAGAACGCTTCTGGGAAGGTTTCTGTGGAAATTCCTTTTTTAAATTTTAATTTGGAGGCTATAATTGCTGTCTTAATCAAACTAGGCACGTCCGCCTTCGCCCTGGCATTCGGCTTGAATATTTTTTTAGAACACTACAATAATAATGTTTCTTGTTAGGAAGCAACAAAGCAGGAGAGACTGGAAATTTCATCTCTTGTTGAGCAGCTTAGCATGTAATGCTTTCTATAATGTGTCCTGGTGTTTGTCAGTAGCAAATCTGGGTAGTTCAAACATCAAAATTATATACATACGAGCCGACCCGCGACATATCATACGCCGCTATATAGTTGTTTATTTTCTACTTTTCAGTAATTCATAATTTGTGAATTCGACAGTATCAATGCTGCCACTGAAAATATTTGCTTTAAAACACTATCAGTAGGTCGTTAAGGACGATACTACCCCCACGCTCCTTTCCCCCAACCCCTACCCTACACCCCCCCTCATGAAAGCAGCCTCCTCTTAGTTACCTTCCTTAAGTTTAAAATCGTTTCAAACTAAATCATCTGCCCCTAATAGCCATCACTAAACCTAGCTCTACGAATGTAAACATTTAGCGTGAACCACAGCTCACCAGCACCAGATCATGTAGGGGTGGGGAGGTAGGGAGCGCGCTTACAGCTTGTTTTCTAGCGTCCCCAAGAAAAGAATTATATATATATAGATAAAATTCTATTAATTTATCTATCTAGATAACTCACTCTATATATGTGTGTGTGAAATGTATATAATTATAATGGTGTTGAAATCATTTTATAAACATTTAACTGTCACAACAATGTTATTTCGTATGAAATATTGTGCACTACTGGTATTACATATTTGTTCCAACTATGGACATGACATAGTATGCCTGCTGTGGTGCAGGGAGGTTTATAGGGATCATTAACATTATTTTTGATAATTCTGTACAGATTCTCAAAGTTAGAAATCACAACTGACACAGTTCTAAGTTAATGATATCCAAGTTTATTTGTTATACGCACAAATTAATTTACTCCTCCTAATTCCAACTCTACTATCCTTCACAGTATTTCTGTTACCTAACTGTCAGACTATAACTATATACACTACTTAACAATCTACTCCACACTTTAATAAACTAATACACAATTTCTGCTCTACTGCTTCTCAATTACTTGACCAGCTCCTTACACACTTACAGTACACTATCTCAGGCGTAGTGGGGGGGGGGGACACATATGTCCCCGGGCGCCGACCTTAGGGGTCGCCAAAATGGGTTGGAAAAATAAATTGAAAGCTTGAGTGGGGGTGTGAATCGAAATCTTGAGAGGGGTGGGTGCAAATCGAAATCTTGACGGGGGGGGGGGGTGCAAATCAAAAGTTTGTCCCTGGGTGCCGGGAAGGGTTGCTATGCCTCTGCACTATCTCCATTCAAATCTGACCAACTGGTGACTTGACATCTCACTTCTCATCTCGTTAGTCTGACTATTCTATTGGTTCTTACTCCATCTCAACTGCTTGACCAATGGCTATCTGACCAACACTTTTTCCCTATTTTTTATCTATATCTAATGTTGCCTAAACATCACACCTTCTAAAAAATAAGCTAATGACACTAGTTCAAATTTTATTTTCCATATTTTTCATCAAAATAGAATATTAGTAACGAGTTCCTCATCAGCATTTCTTTAATGTCTAGGCTTATGAGTTGCTATTATCATAAACTGTATTACCAGCTATATTTTCAATAGTGTGAATTAATTTAATCAGTATACAAAGGTTTCACCATTTAACATAAAATCTATTCATAGCAATATTCAAGACAATATAATAAATATACATTGAATCCAGTACTATTAATAAATCTTTTGTATTTCTTATACATGAAAACCAAATGTATTAGTGAAATTTTTAGAGATTAATTTTAAAGCAGAAACTTTTTACATCTTAAATAGTTATTACGTGTGTTTGTTATTGTTTCATCCTTAACAGAAACTTAAATGACATTTTTGGTTCTATTTCATCTAAGAAAAATGTTACATGTTAGTTAATTTCAGCAAAACGTTTGTAAAAAAAAGTACAATACACTAATAGTAATGCTACCTAAGCACTTTTTGTCATTATTTTAAAAAAAAACACGCAAGTCTCAGATTGTAATTGAAATTTAAACATACTAAAGACTTATTATTTTAATTATTTTAGGACACTGATGGTTTTGATAAAGATGGTGTACCATTGTATGATGCGAATGGAAAACCACTATTTGATAAACCAGTATATCTTCAAGTAGGCAAACCACTCTTTGATGATAGAGGCAAACCTTTATATCCTAAAGAGGTACAAGGCAATTCAAAAGCATTGTTAGATGATTCAGGAAAACCTTTAGTTGACAAGAAAGGAAAACCATTGTTTTATAAAGAAGGTCATCAGGTGTTAGGCAAGCAGCTATTTGATAATCAGGGAAAACCATTGTGTGACTTAGAGGGCAAACCACTTTATGGTAGACCAGTATATGGAATTCCACTATTTGAAAAGGATGGCAAACCAGCTCTTGATTCTGATGGTAATCCACTTTATTCTAGACCGGAAGAAAACCAGTCTGTTTGTGATAAAGATGGAAGGCAATTATTTGATAAACAAGGCAAACCTTTGACTCACCAGGATGCCACACCATTTTATGACAGAGAAGGAAATCATTTACATGGCAAACCATTGTATGACAAAGATGGACTACCACTTTATAACAAAGATGGAAAACCAGTTTATGATAAAGATGGCAAACCATTTTATGACTCAGATGGAAAACCAATTCATGACAAAAGTGGAAAACCATTATATAGTAAACCAGCTTTTGATCCATTTGGGAAGCCACTGAAAAATTCTGATGGTAAACCATTGTATGGTAAAGATGTCAGACCTATTTACTGGGAAGATATCTATGATAAAGATGGGAAACCATTTTTTGACATTGTATATAGCAAAGATGGTAAACCACATCCTCAATTTATTGAAAGAACTGGACCAAAGAAAGTTAAGGTCATTATCTTTTTGAAATTATTAGACTTAATAATTCTTTTAAATCTCATATGGTGCTCTTGAAATAACCTCTTTCTTAAATAACATTTCAAGTTTATTTTTTAAATCATTTTTTTCTAAATGTTCCACATGTTTGTTTATTGGAAATTTTAAAATAAATTTCCATACATTTCTCATTGTAATATAGTATGTACACTTTTTTAATTTAGGGCAAGGATTATAAAGAGGATATTCCTTTATATGATACAAATGGTAAACCATTGTTTGATAAACCAGTATTCATTCAAGAAGGTAAACCTATATTTGATGAAAAGGGTAAACTATTACACCCTAAAGAAATACAAGGAACTGCTAAACCTCTTGAGGATGAAAAAGGCAAACCACTGCTTGACAAGAAGGGAAAACCATTGTTTTACAAAGATGGCCAGCAAGTATTTGGTAAACCGTTATATGATGAATATGGTAAACCAATGTGTGAAATGAATGGTAAACAGTTGTATGGCAAGCCAATTTATGGAATACCCTTAAAAGAAAAAGATGGAAAAATAATTCAGGATTCTGATGGTAGCCCTATAATGGTTAGACCCCTTGATGGTCAGCCCATTTGCAGTAAAGATGGTAAACAGTTACTAGATAGTGGTGGCAACCCACTGTTTCATGAAACTGCAACTCCATTGTATGATGAAAATGGAAACCACTTACATGGTAAACCATTGTATGATAAGGATGGTCTTCCACTTTATAATAGGGATGGCAAGCCAGTTTATGACAGAGAAGGGAAACCATTTTTCAATACTGATGGCAAACCAGTGTTGGACAAAAGTGGGAAACCTACATACAGTAAGCCAGCCTTCGATGACAATGGCAAATCCTTGCAAAATAATGAAGGTAAAGCACTACATGGCAAAGATTTTAGACCTGTCTACTGGGAAGAGATCTTTAATGAAGATGGAAAACCTTTTTTTGGTAAAGTTTACAGTCAAGATGGGAAACCCCATGCATATGCTATTGAAAGAGTTTTTATTCCAGATAAAGCAAAAAAGGTTCCTATGCATTTTTAATTATGGCTTGCATCATGGTACAGTGCTTTGTATAACTTGCTTTTCAATCAAGTAGGCCTACTTAAAAAAACTTATTCTTTCTAGATGGCACAAAAATAGCTGCATTCTATAATCCTTAGCAATAGTGCTGACCTTTTCTTCAACTTTCAAAGGCATTCAGCCAAAAGATTAGTATTAAAATTTATTTAGGCAACAGTAACTAACAAGTTGGTAAAGCATTTTTTATAGACCATCTCAAATGAGTTTTATAATATTAACCAATTATGAAATACATTCTCTGAGTTACAGCTGAGCTACTTTGAAAAAATGTAGTGTAATGTAACCACTTTTATGTACTGCATTTACTACTCTTTAACATGTACTTAATCAACTATATCTTTCTACATATTTTATGCACTCTTTAGATAGTTATAAATACATACATATTATTATAAATATATACATACTCATATATAAATGCACATTATACACACCCGTTATATACACCTGGGTAGTGTTAGGTAGATACTACTTTTTTTTTTAAGTAAAGCACAAGCCAGTTTTTGCGGCAATGTTAGGTCTGAGTTTATAAAATTATAATATACATTATTCATGTGTGGTTTAATTGAAAACCCAAGATTTCAAATGAACAACAGTTGCACAATTTCAGGACTAGTAACACCATATTTAAATAGCTTTATTACAAAATTGGATATTATGATTTAACTACATTTAATAAAAGAATTAGATTTGAAAGCTGTATACTGTTTTGAGTGCTCAAGGATCATTAACCTGCAAGCACCAAATCAATTTAATCCTTTGCTGTGTTTACTTATACAGGTCGTTGGCCTGTTTGATGGTTTTAATTGAATTTATTGAATATACCTAGAGCAATTTTTATGTTTATGGGTATTTTTTAAAAATTATTCATTCTTTATAGCATTTTGTGCATTCACAATTTTTTATAAATATTTCAATTCATCATTTCCTGAATGCTCAATAACATCCTGATTTAAGTCTTTTTTTTTTTTTTACTAACCAGCTATTAGCTTGAATTGAACAATTGCTTTTATTTTAAACTACTATAGATAGCCTGCTTTATTTAGTTTCTATTAATCTTGTTAAATTGATTTTAATCAAATCTTTAAAAATAGGATATCAGTTTTTAATTTTAAAATTTGTTGACAAATATAAATTGTGTACTTTCTTACCATTTTATAGGCTCATCTTGTAGATTCAGTTTCACCCTTTACAATTGGATTTGGAGTTGGTAAGGGTGATATGACAGGTGTTGTTGGTGAAGAGAAAGAAATAGATAATAAACAGCGTTATATGCCAATACCAAAGGCTATAAAAGTAAGAGTGTTCTTGAATATTTTTAATATATGGCCACTATTAAAACATTTAAATAAAAGATCTTTAATATTTATATTATTACAAGTTGAACAAATCAATCATTTTTTCTTTCAAGGCAACAAGAGAAAGCCTTAAAACTGGGTTTGGTGATTTCTTCAATCCAGCAGCCACAAGTACAGTTGGAAGGGGTAAAGTTCCACCTCCAGTACCACCAAAAGCAAACCATGGTTTAGACGACAGCTTTAATGTGAGTGTTAAAACATTTTTTTTTCTCCATTAAAAAACACATTTTTGTCTTTAATGTGCAGTTTTAAGTTTATTTTCATAATTTAAAATACTGCTATTATTATTATTCAGGTTTTACTTTTTATTTTTATTTAAAATCCCTTTGAGCTGCATTATTTACTTATTAATATTAATTTTATCACTACTTAAACCTTTGAGCCTGACAAGCCGGAAAACCTGCTTCAAGATCAGGCATATATGTCCGAAAAGCCGGTTTTCCGGCCCGATGATCTAGCTTCATAGTCCTAGGGGCTGGTATACCGTTTTATTAAATTGGGTTGGTGTTTAGATGTGTCACATTTGGTTTAGGGCTCATGCTTGTTTTGTTTATTTTTATGTTTGTGTTTATGTATGTATATATATTCTATATTTGCATATATACATTACATTTAATATATTAACAAGACCCTGGCAACACCATATATATGATGCTGAATAAACAGATGCAGATTGTCTTGAAATTTAGTGTTGAATTTTAACTGTATTCTACTTAAAAAGACACAATTTTTTTCAAGATGATGTTTATTTTTTGCATTAAGATCTGTTAAAATAATTTTCCTCATGGTTTATTGCATATTTTTGAAAATTTGATTCATAATACTAAGCTTTTTTCACTTAACAAATTTTTGCTAGGTTATTTTTGTTTTGAGTAGCTCATTCTTTTTAAATTCACAAATTATCAGTATAAAATTACTCTGTGCAGTAGGTTACTGAGTAAGAGCTTCTAGTGGGTGCTCAATTTAGTAAATGCCTAAGCGGCTTACTAAAAAGGTTTGATTTGACACAATTCCATAGGTAGACGTGGTGGCTACTCATTAACCCTCTAGCTACAGATTTTAGTTCCTACAATCTTCTTCTTTTTTTTTCTTCTGTAACAAATGTCTTATTGACTTGAAAATTTTGTTTGACTAAATCATCTGCTTAAGTGTGAACAAGATTCTTTTGGTTAAAAAGGTCAAATGATTATTATATATGAATATACAATCTAGAAATCTGTGTAGCCTACTCTGCAGTTTAAGTAGTCTGTAAAAGAAAACGTTGTTTAGACACTTTTTCTTGGAGAAAGTGGATATTGGCATATGCAGCAATTGCTTTATGTTACATGAGGAATTTCAGTTTAGGTTCACTTCGTTGGCTTTATGAAGTTTGTGACACTTACATGATCACTTCTACTTACATAGAAGAAATAGTAAAGTTTGATGAAACTTTTCGTAAGCTTTATCATGTCATCATATCTCATTCTGTGAGTCACTTAAAGTAAAAGACACCAGCCATCCCTTTTATGGCTTACCCATACCTTGTGTTATTTGAAGCACACAATTGATTGTCATTTGGTGACAATGATAAACATTCACTCTATTAGCTCTGTAATTGTTGTCAATTGTTCTCCTTGTAAATATATGTTAAAGCAAATTCAGTTATCTTTTTAAAAATTCTATTATTTGTATTGCACATATTGTTTACTATTATTACTTATGTAATTTGATAAAGGTTTCACTTTTAACCATATCTTCCTTCTGTTTTTTCAAATTTAAACGCCATAACTGTGTGGGTGTAGATGTGTGCTGAGTGTCCTCCTTGTGAATTACCAGAATATAATATCAGCATTGTGAAAACTCCACCTAAAGTGTTAATCACTGTAGCAGCTTAAACAATTTATTTAATTTTTATGGCCAACATAAAACAGTGTGGTTTTATTTTAACTATTACCTTTGTACTACCCTGTTGCATAATGTTGCACTTGTAATTTTATGTACATATTTTTTTTAGTTAGTGGAAAAGTCATAAATTATTGCATGTAATTCAGAGTTATACTAAAGTTATACTAAAGTAGTTCATTATTACGTTAAAGTGAGTTCATAGTTAATGTTAAGTCTGCGTATTCTATTTCATGTCTGTCAATACATTCTTAGTTTTCATGTCTGATGGTTCTTTGTTTTTCATTCCTTTTCTCTCATTCCCCAACCCTACGTTCTTCCGTGCCTGATGTCTGAACATGTCCTATATCCTTTGGGGTTATGGGGTTCTAGCCACCAACAGTTGCCACGGAAAAAGTCAAATACAACCCAAACTTCTCTGATGTGCTAATGTCCAGCAGGAATATTCCGCTGGTGAAAACAGAGACACGTACAGTCACTTATGAGCGTAACAACTTTCTGCCTGACCTGGATGATGGCATACTGGTCAGTGCACAGTCTCACAGCACAAAATTACAGACTATTGAAACAACGACTGTAAGTGATATTGAATCATTTAAAAAAGATGATGGAAAAACAAATTTTAAAATGTTAAGTTATCAGAACCGTTGCACAGGGATAATTTTTTCTCTATTTGATTACAATAAAATTAAATATTTCAATACATTGTTTTAAGTTGCCAAATATTGGAGAAATGTCAGGGCTGTCCAAATGTTTCACAGATATTAAGAGAACATTATTAAATAGGACAACCTTAAATGTGAAATTAAAAGTGAATATTTTTTTTTTTTTTTAGAAATGTTATTACTTTATTGAATTCTTTTACTTAATTCCTAACTTTTGCATCTCCATGTGTAAATTTAAAAAATGCCCAATTCATATTTTTAATAATAGGCATGAAAATTCTATATAGTCATACTAAATTTTTGAAAACATAATTTAAAAAATATGGCAAGCGATAAAATTATAGTTTCATTTGTAAAAATTTAAGCCATTTGAGAACCATGGATTACACTAATTTTTATATTTTTGTACCAAATACATTCGGTTGAAAAGCAGTTAAGAATTATTTTATCAAGTATTTTCAAAAATTGCCCTCAACCTCTCCTAGAATTCAACCAGAATGGCCAGGGAGAGTAAAACGATAAAAGTCAGAACAATTGTTTTCCATGAAAAAAATACACAATAGTGATCTATGGTGCATAGTGTAGTATTGTAACATCACAATACACGGACTCTACTAATCCAAATTAAAAATAAAAGTGTTTGCTAAATTACTATTATATTACTAGTAATTATTTCTTTGACTATTTATAGCGCAGCCTTAATGAAAGTAATTTTGTACTTAATTACACACGTTATAAAATGTTCAATTTCGGTTGAAAAATATGCTTTCTGGCAACAAAAATATGGAACCATTTGGAACCAGCTTTTCAAGCCTATTATAACATTTAAATGTCTTCTGAGTGTATGTCTAGAAATGTGTTTTTAATTTAACTAATAAACAACTTAAATTTAACCTTTGCATTGTTTAATAATGAACTCTTGTTCATTACATAATTTTGTTACAATTTTTTTAATTGTAATTTAACTACTATTAATAACTAGCAGTTCATGTACCATGCTAATAGCTTCACTTTCATATTATTTGATTTTATATTCTCCTTTGTAATTTATCTTACCAATTGTAAATTGATTGCAGAATCTTTTTCTTCTAAGATAATATAATGGTACATTATAGTTTGATGTTCCTAATCATTACATGATCCATTTATATAATAATGAGGTTTATTTAAAACTACTTAGAGATCATACAGATGTGGAATGGATTCACCTGTCAGTGCAGACAAAATTAAAGAGTTCTCCTTTCACATCTAAATACAGGATCTGCTTTCTCCCTTCTCTAGTAGTTCATCAATAGGCTACATAAACTAATATTCTAATGAATGTAAGCACAACTGCTTGATCCTCAAAGGCCACCAACATTACTTTTATCTTAACCTGGACTGAATAATTTTGAATCAACATCAGATACTCTTATTTATTGGATAATCTCAATATTTTGCAATATTTTTGCCATACTTACAATTCAAAGTGAAACATTCTTACAAATACTCAAATAAAACCAGATCTGTAAACTGATCTATGCTTTTGTTTCGGTGCTATGTGCAGACCATGTATAGAAAAGTAGACATTTAAAAAAATTTAGACAACCTTTTAACCTAATATATAGTCCCCTTCCACCCACCACACATCCTCATTATTGTGATTATAGTGCCTTTGTTTTGGGTAATATATAATATTTCTGTCAAGTTTTGAGAGCTGTGTGTTATTTTCTGCCTGATAAAAAGCATGGCTTTTTAAAATTGTTTAATTAGTTACAAGTTATTTAATTAGTTAATTTCAGTTGAAAATTTTACAGCCCATTTAGAGACGGACAGCTGTTGTCAATTGTGATAGTTATATTATATTAGATGAGCCTATGTAGCCTTACTGATTATAATTATATACATTTATTTGTATCCTTATAAATATAAAATGAAAAAGTGATGTGGAAACACTTTGGACAGCCCTTGTTTTCATGTTTATACTGATGGAGTAATTACAAAATATCAAAACAGATAATTAAACTATGTATTATTGCAGTACAAGACTGAAAGAGATGGAATTGAAGAGCTTAGAGTTGTGCAGAAGGTGGTTATGTCAGGTGATGAAGATGAAGACTTTGACTTTGATGCTGTGAGTAATTTTTAAAAAATCTATTGTCACTTTTTCTTTAAACCTCCCCTTAAAAAAAAGTATACTAGATATTTAAATTACTGCTTTAAAGTTGGTGCCATTGAAACAGTTTTAAAGTGGTATGTAACCTGCTTAAGTAAGAGACAATATTTCCCAGTTAGTATTTGCTTGATTCTTTTACCATTGGGGGTTTACCTTTGAGGCATGGTAATTATCAAACCACAGAACTAGGCAATATAGTTAGCTTTATAAAAAGATCCCTTACTGATTAAAATCTGTTAATTGAAAAATAATTGTGTAATTAAAGCAGAAAAAAATTCAAAATACACTGAAATAGAATAGAAAATTTCCTTTTATTTATAGAGTGCAGCTTTTATTTTTCATTTTATACTTATTTAAGATATTTTATATTTAAAAAAATGAAGCACTTCTATCAAGCAGTTTTGGCTATAAGGATACTTCCATCATAAAAACATGTAATGTTTAGTATTTAGTTTGGTTCACAGTTAAAGCAATTAAAGTAGATATAACTGGATATACTTACATAATGTGTTCAATGGGAAAGTAAAATATTAACTCCATTTATAAAAATTATTTAGCAGGCAATTGAATTGAACTTACTACCTGATAAAAAAGGTATTTAAGATTATTTTCAACTTTTACTTATTTTATTTTTATCACACAGGCACTGGTTGATGCTATAAGATCTGTGACAGAATTTAACCCTGATATGTCAGTAGAAAGAATAGAATGTGTTCAGCAGATAGAAGATGTTAAAAATGGAAAATGAGAGTAGCTTGTAAGTAGTATTTGTAAGTTTCTTTAAATATTATTTTGATTCTATAGTCCATAGTCAAAATCACCTTTTTTATATGGTGGAAAACAAATCCTATTCCTAAAAGCCTAGTTTTAGGGTTAACTTTTGTAATTTTCCCAAGTAACAAATATTGACATATTGTATATCAGTTTTGCTTCTGAACAATCGAGGAATTCAAAAAACTAAAAAGTAATAACCCCAGACATTGACCTAATATTCAAAATGTATGTGAACCACACTCAACTGAAAACATTTTTTTCACATTTAATTGCAGTGAGGTCTAAAAATTTACAATATCTACAACATAAATACACCAAGTGCTACAAGAGCATACATTTATTTATAATTGTATTAAACTTTAAAAAAATATACCAGTTTATAGCTTATTTCTATAAATAATCTTGGAAAAAAAATGGACGCCATTCTCCTTAAAAATTTCCAAAATTTATGCTTTTAGAAACACTCTGGGATAAAAAATAAATAAATAAAGAGGAAACATTATAAGTAAAATATGTCTAAACTAGCTGTTACTTTAGTTGCAGTACTAACATGAATTATTATAATAGTCTAGTACAGGGGTCTCCAAACTTTTCAGTCCGAGGGCCTCATTAACTATCAAATTTCAGTTCGGGGGCCAGTTTCTTTCAGGCATGTCTTTGATTTTTCTGGGCAAAGTTCCTCAGCCATCACCAACAAATGATTTTTCTTGGACAAAAAGATCCAGCGGGCCGGATGAGAGGACTTCGAGGGCCGCATCCGGCCCGCGGGCCGTAGTTTTGAGACCCCTGGTCTAGTACTTTAAACGTTAATTAAAATTACCAACTGCCCGTAACCTAACTTCTAGACTAGGTGAACCAGGTGTTAAAGAGCATCAACACAATTTTATTTGAATAGGTACAGTACAGAACATAAGTTATAACTAGAGCTGGTCCATAGACCAATTCAAATGTTTCAATGCAGTCTTTAAAATGCTACTTATAGATCAGATGCATTTAACAAATTAAAAACATAAGGTTTAGAATCTAAGAGCAGTGACCTAATTTTACTGAAAATTCAATTTACATGATTGCCAAATACACAATTTTTAAAATGTGCTAGAATTCCAATCTAGGAGCAAAATAACTTCAGAAATGTGAAACTGTAGCTTATGCTTAGATGTGTATTGAGAATTGGATCCAGCACCAATTTGTAAATATATTGATACATCTTTTTTAAATAATAAAAACTACTAAAAATTAAAAGAATTTGCAGTGTGCTAGTGTCTCATTTTAAAACGTGTTGGTAATTTCGCCGGCGCGGTAAGCCACACAGGTTTCTTATCAATGAGACAAATTTTAAACATGTGAAACAAAAGTAGGTCTTCCTGAAAAAAGTTAAATGTTTCAACAACAGCCTCCACTTGATTCAAAACTTAACAGGCATAAATTTAGAGTGCATGAGAAATAACAAATTAATATTTCTTCAAAGCAACAGTTAAAATAAAAATAGAACTTTACAGTTCTATTTTCTTCTGGCTGTAGTTTTTAAGAAATATTAATATTTTTCTCATGCATTCAAACCATCATATCTATTTTTTCTAACAATAAACATTAGATTAATAAAGACTCGATAATTTTCAGCATTAGCCCTTGACATCATTTCAGGGAAAAAGACTTGTGAGAAGGTTACAGGAAGGCTATAATCCTATTTCAGACTGGAAAATCTTTATTTTGAAATAATTACATTATCAATTAAATAAGATTTAAAACAAATGGTTTTAAGTTAAAACCAAAATTTTAAAACTTAAAACATTGAAGTATCATAATTGTCCGCATTTTTTAAAATTTAAAAGTTAAAGATTCAATTTTCTTAAAATGCAAAAAAAATTATGTATCAATAACAAGCTTTTATGTAATAATGCACACAAAAAAAAAGAGAAAATTAAAGATTTTCTTTAAATATATAATACACTACTATTTAAATAAATATAAAGAAATGCATGGGTCACTATATTATCTTTTGGATACCTTTACTAATAAGTAGGAAATACCCACTCTTTTCTTTATAGTTATTTGAATAGTAGTTATGTATTATAAAATATATTTAAAGAAAATCATTTATTTTCTCCTTTTTAGTGAATTATTACATAACGTATTAAACATTTTGTAAGCAATTTTTTCAGTACTTCAAAATGAATAGAAACAATTCCCCACATAGGAACATGATAATGCACATATAATTGTTTTTGATAACAGTAGGCCACCTTACTAATTTCAAAATTTTTAATCAATTCATAAAAGTCATCCAGTTAAGTCAAGTTTGAATTTAAGAGAAATTTGTTGGTTTAAAGTACTCAAAACTTTGCTAGCCCAATTTGGTCTAGACAGAAAGACAGACATGACAAGGAAGCAAGTTAATTAAAAACTTGTAAAAAGAACCCCTTTTTTTTACATTTATTCTTTGTAGCATTCATTTCTTAATGTATAAAAAATCCATATAAAGTAATCTAATCATAAAAAGTATGGTTCCTTAGCTTATTTTGAAGTATAAACTTCGTAGATCCCTTCCGATGTGATTTTCATACCTTGTCTGCATGAAATATTGTCCAAAACTAATTCTGCAAATATATTGCCCCTGAAGCTTCTTAAGATGTATCTCTATCCATTAATATCAACAAAATCTAACCATGTCTAGTTTAGAAATACGCCTATCACTGTAAATATCTGTTTTCTACCAAATAATACATTTATCCTTCAAATAATATTAAATTTTTTTTTAAAAGTGTCATTTTTTTTTCACTAGGCACTCTACACCTTGTTTTGTAAGAGAAGCATGGATATGTATAACTTCCAAATATATACAGCACACCAGTCAGTACAGTACAAGATTCATTTAAGTTTTGTTAGATTTAGTTGCTTCAATTCATATTAAAATGTGACAGTAGATCAATTATTTTGTAGATTTTATTCATAGCTTTATTTAGGTTATAACAAGTTTTGTTTGGTTTTAAAAATTGTTGGGCTAGAAAGGATTTTGCCAAAAGTATATTTTAGTTTGTTGTAAGCATGATACATTTATTTCTTTTAATTGCTATTATGTGCCTATTTAACAGATAATTTCAAATTTTTGCCTGACTTTGTTGCAGAACTATTATTTGTGTAAAGTACATTTAAGGATATTTCAATTAATTGTAAATGCCTAAACATAACTAGAACTTTAAAGTACGAAACAGGTTTTCATTGGCTTTAATATAGTTTTTTTTTATATTTAAATGTAAAAAATTTCCAGATGTAAAAATGCTGCTTTGTCTGTTAAATTAAAAATCCTCTCATCTGTTAGGACATAAATTAACATTTTTCAAATAAAAGTTTTTTATGTAGATTTCATCTATTAAAAATGTTAACAGGCTCATCAACATCCCGACTTTGTTGAAGTTTATTTAAGTTTGGAGTCTCACGATGGGTAAAATTTCACAGACACATTAATTCCTTGTAGTTTGGTAAATCCTGCTCTTCATTATAGTCTAATCCAGAACTTCACAGTTTAAAAGTAGAATACCATGTATTACTTGCAACTTTTACTGTTTAATCCTAATTAATTGGATGCTTTTTCCTGATGCTTGTTTATTTTAGTAGCAAAAATATTTGATTACCTTTGAAAAATTGTAAACAACTCAATCTGTAGCAAAAACAATAGTTAAACTAAATATCAATTGTAAATCATTACTGTAAAATATTGATTTTAACCTTAATGTTAAGCTTTTAATTGTGATTGTTAAATGTATACCAATGTTGAATTTTTAAATGTTACTTTTCATCATTCCATGTCTTGTTTTTGATGACACTTTTAAAAAAAAATCCTTCATAATCATGGCAAGCTTTTTTTTTAAAAAAAAAATACAGTGGTGCTTTTTTCATGGGAATTTGTGTCTTTAGATTGTATGTATTTCTGGTAACTGTTGCTAAGGTTAGAAAATTTGCTGCTTTTTATTTTAATAATTATCAATTTCAAAACAGAAAAATTAATAATTTTAGTCCAAACTTTTAAAATAGAATGCGCTTTGTGTATTGATTGTATAAGCCTGAACAAGTTGCATTGGTTTTTTTTTGTTTTGGAGGAAAATATGGAAGAAAAGTGGTAATGAAATTTTTTTTTGTACAATGCAATCTTCTATGAGATGGCAATAAATATGTGCGATTCTGTGAATGTTAAAATTTTGTGTGGTCTCCTTCACTATATTGAATATGCTTTCCGTCAGTCAAAAGATACCTTTCTTTATCATGTACATTTTTTAAAATCAAGGTTCAATAAGAAAAAAATAAATTATTGCACAAGCGATCATTATTGATTTAATTAAATAAATTAGCTGAGTGATTGAAAGACCATTATAATATCATAAACAATTAGAAGAAACTTTGATTGATGTAAACACTGTCAAAACTCATTGAAATTTAAAATATCTTAACATTCCAGATCTTTTTTTCTCTTTTGTAACTTTGGTAAATTTAGTGCTGCAAATTCTTTCATTCTGGCAGGAATCATTGTGTAAAAATGTGTACCTCCGCTGTTCTGTTGCTTTATCAACATGTATGATTTTATTTTCAAATATCTATTTCTAATAAAAATTTAAAATTTTAATTTTTCTGTTATTTGTATGACAATACTAAAAATTCGAATGAAAAAAATCATTTACATTGTACTTGGCCGGCCAATGTGCACACTGGCCGGGATGTCCTGGCCAATGTCCTATCTAGACTAAGTTGTGATCGCCTTTTCATTATACTGGGTGCAGTTTCATTGTGAGTAACGTATTGTTTGGCTCTTGTTTGGATAGCATTCTTTATGCAATGCGACATGGACTAAAAGGACCGTCAGATCAAGAGACAGACATACCAGATGGCTGCCAAAATAAATAATCCAAATCTTAATGGAAAAGAATTAGTGAATTAAGTTAGTTCTGAACTAAAGAACATGTGGCATGAACTTAAACTAGTTCGCAGAAAACGAAGGCATAGCCAAAGCGAATGTTCAGTAGAACGTGCCAACTAAGATGCTCAAAACATGATGACCAGGATGCAGACGAATGAATCAGCTTATTGGGTTGAAAGTCTTAAATTCATTCAATTTATGAAAAACCGTAATTTTCATCAAAGAATCCAACAATTGCCATACGAAACCTTATTTGGGTGTAAAGCAAAAGTGCGACTTAGCACTTCAAATGTACAAAGAGATGCTCTCGATAATTTAACTACTGAGGAAGATCTTGAGAACATTGAACAAGAAATGGAGGTTGTCATAAATGCAACGACATCCTCAGCTAACACATATGCTGCCGTTGCGCAACGTCCAGACCAGCTGCGGGACAATAATAAGGCCTACAGATTCTGTGTAGTTTGTGAAAAATATTGTAGTGCAGCCCATTCATGTGGAACCTGTGGCAACGATGACCATGCAATATGCGGAATAGCCAATGAAGCAGATGAAGAGTACGGAGGGAACATTACTTGTAGATTATGTCACAATAAACAAGAAATTATGGCCAACAGGTCAGCAGCTCATACTAGCTTGCAAACTCAAGGTGCTAAGATGCTAAAAAAATTAAACAAGCTGAAGTGGGAGATACTGGTCACATTCGTATTCCAGATGTTGACAGAGGTCGCGGTGATCCCTGAAGCGTCATTGCAGTTATCATGAGCGTCTAGGGCCCTTTCTACAATCTAGGAACGGAACATGGTGTATTTAAACAACTATATGCTAGAAGTGAGTTTTCAATTCTTCACGAAAAACTGCTCTCATTGTCTCTCGTTGGCACTGAGGAAAAATCACTCCGAACTATCGCATCTTCACAATCACTGACCGGCGGCCAAGGCTACATTACTACAACTAGTGCAACTGCACAACCTAGTGCACAACAAATCGCTGCAAATTGCAAATGTAAAAATAACAATGTATAAAAAAACAAAATCTGCTCATGATCTTCTAATTCGGACTTTGACCGGTCGTCCCTAGCCAGATGATCTTCTAATTCGGACTGGCCAGTCCGCCGATAGGCCGGCCGAAGGCCAAAATCAAGAGCCATTTCATACGTTGGCCGGTCCACGATGGCAGGTCCGTGGATTGGCCGGCCAAAGGCCGAAATGAAGTAAAGTTTTGGACTTTGACCGGTCAATGGGAGACAATATTGGCCAATGCGCGCTTTGGCCGTCTTCGGGCTTTGACCGTAACCTATATATGCGTGTTATGTTATATGAAAAACAAGTAGGCCTAAACAAATGCTAGTAAAATACGCTAGTGTTCCAAGATAAAAAAAAAATTTCAACTGATGGAGATTTAGCAAAATTATTTTTACACGCTTAGCGTTTGTATTAAGAGGCTCACTCTGTATTATCTAAGCTTGTTGGATATCCCCATAAACATGTGAAAAATAAACTAGTCTAATTCCATCAGGAAACAAAGAAAGGACTAGATCTATTTGGCACATTCAATTAAAAGAGAAAAAAACTTTTAGAAAAGTTCTTCTACAGAATAAAAAGAAAACAAAGAATATCTCAAACCACTCTTGGTGGAACAACCTTGAATATTTACAGAATATTTAAATACTAGCGCCACATTGCGTATAGTAACAAAACCTCAATTAGTCTGGCGACGAATTTGTCTAACATGTTTAGGTAGGAGTGTGTTTAAAATTGTTTAATGAAATTAATAAAAAAAATATAAACGTTAGGCTTAAATTGCGAAACATATAGGAGAATAATATTCAATTACTTCTTTTACTTAATTGTTGATTTTCACTATAAAAACTAAAGTTTTAATGTTTGCATCACAAGCTTCAATTATATTTTTTTTTTTTTACAAAATAACTTAAACGTGCACACATTAAATTATAAATATAAATACCAGCTATCATCACCTCATACCCAGACAATTTTTATATAAAGCCGACGCTCCCTAAAATAACACAGTCCTGACCAGTTTTTTGTTACGAAATGACACGACTACCTCATTGTAGTTTAAAGTTATGATTCTCTAAACTTCAACGTGAAAGTGAGGATACTTTAACTTGCTTGCATTACATGTTGTCTGGATCACTGTATTAAAGATAAATAAATATCAGATTCTTGTGTGTGTGTCGGTACCTGATTGGTTAAATAGCCCGCTTCTGGTGGCCGAAAATTTAAGAGCTAATCCTGCTATTTTCATATAGTTAAGTCCACTAGACCTACTAAACGTGGTATAAGTGATACAGCATGACGATTGCTACTGCTTTGTTACTTTGTTTAACCTAAAGGATAATTTAAAACTGTAATACACACTTTTCGAAACTGCTCTAAAGACACGACCTAAAACTAGCGTACCCGTCGCGCTCGTTTTTATTAGTTTCATTAAAGCTTGCCAATCGTTTATTTTTAGACGTGTGACCTTGTTTTCTAGCCTGTAGCTCTAGAGTGCAAACCCAATACGTCCCTGACACTGTGGCAGTCGCCGAGATGTATTCCAACTCATTATTAATGAGCACTTCGTGGTGTCGCCCCCCCCCCCCCCCCCCCAAGAAAAAAGAATATATATATATATATATATATATATATATATATATATATATATATATATCGACCTACATAGCATAGGCCTATTTATAATTTAAATATATGCCACATACACGTATGTTTATAAGCTTTAATTACTGCAGATGTAATAGTAACGATGTTTATTTATAGTCTGTCAATAATATTGTTAGATGTAGCCTTGTTTTCTCTAAAGTTAGCAAATTTACGTCATAGTGTCACCCCAACTCCTTTGTAATATTTTTTTATTTGTACTTAAAAGACTATATAACTTTAATTAATTATTAACTGAACTGTCATAAAAAGCATTTTTCTTCTGTAAAATTAGCATTTTTTTCCCGTTGGTGTCCACCCCCTAAATGGTGTCACCCGGTGCGGCCCGCACCCCTCTGTTAAGGAGGGCATTTAACCTTGCCCCAACAACTACTATCCAAGCCTGCTTTATTCATTAACTCAGTTTTAGAAAACAAGGTCATACGTCTAAGAATGCACGGTAACGAATTGAAATCCCTTTAAAGTATTTCGTCAACCTTCCAAGGCCACAGCAACGCGCGGGATGGGTACGCTAGCTACTATACAAAGTTAGTTGCGATAAAGCGTCAAAACAGAGCTATCAAAGTTTTATGGGCATTGTTGAAATCTATTTTTATTTTAAATAGATTTGTATATATTTACTTTAAAAGCCGTTAAAAATGGTATTGAAAGCCAGATAATGACCCAATATCATATGGGATCATGTACAAAGAATGTCAACTTCATTAAGGCCGATCCTCCCTCCTTCCTTCTTATCTACCGCCACACCTCGTCACAAAAAGCGAGGCCCAAAAAGATTACCATCGGCTTTTTACTTCTTATTCAAATTTGAGTAAATATCATTCTTAAAGAAGCACAAGACATGATGGGATCACAGCTGACAGCTGGTTTTAAAATATTTTATTTGATATTGTTTAAGCATGTTTTTCCTATGAAAGGTTGCTGTAGATTTTCAAGTGATGGATTGTTGTCACTGCGTAATCAAGTGAACGGAATAAAAGTGCGATTACAATATACAAGAAAGCTGATTGCTTAATTTGTTTGTACATTGTAGTAGATTTTGCTTTTTATTAGCTTTTTTTGGTTGCTTCAAATCCTTAACATTCAATAAAAGCCCCTCATTGTGACTATATTCACCCAATTTCTCACCGTGCATTGCTTTGTAATACATGCGTTTTTAACTTCGAAATGATTGAGAAAATAATTATCGTCAATATTCGTTATTAAAACATATTATTACATTTTTAACAACTATTTTAAAATGTAAACCCCCCCTCGCCTAGCTCCTCCTCCCATGTATCGACGGACCCTATATAAAAGTCATGTATTTGGTCAAATTGTTACTTTCTTTTGCTCAAACATCTTTACAATAAGGCTAACTTTTTGCGTAGGAATTACAGGTGATTTTGTTATTGCATTTTTTTCTTTGGATGCATTGATCTGGGAATCTATAGTCGAGGGCACATCTTGCAGATGGTGAGGCATATTTTCTAGCTTCAGTGTTTGTTGCTCATTTCTCAGTTTTATTGTTGCTTTATCTATGTTGATAGGTCGTTGTTCATTTCTCAATTGAGTAGGATGAGTAGTAGCAAAATTGTGAATAGTTTCCGGCGATTTGTTACTTTCAAGTTCTTGAATCCTACTTAAAACATACTGGTGATTAATGATGTCATGCTGTGCACGTGCTGGTGTTTGATTGTTGTGTACCGAGGTAGAAGAAGGCAGAGACTGAGGCTTGTACCAGTTCAAACTAGCTTGGCTGGAGTTGGATTGACTTGGCTCTCGGTTAAAATCTTTATCCGGTTTTTGTTTTTCTACCGGGATTTCTAGCGACGCTTTTTTAGACTGAGAAGTAGACCGTAAATGCTGTTCCAAAGACAAGTTCCCTTTGTTGCTCTTTGTGTTAATTAGAGACGCAAGTTTATGTGTTTCTGGACATAACGGTTGTCCTCTTAATGTGCCTTCTGAGGGTTCAGGTTTTGTTTCTTCACTAGCTATCTTCGTCACACCTTTAGACTTTTTTTCTAATGTGGATCTGTGTAAGAAAAGTTTTTGGCGTTTGCGTATTTGGGTTCTTCGTACTTTTTTATCAGATCTAGGTTCAATATTTGAAATTGTTCCGGCCGAAATTAAAGGATTGTCAAAAGACTTAGTTGGCAAAGATGTGTGTGTGTAATTTCTCCTTAACTGATCAATATTGCATTTACAGTCGTGATCTGAATGAACGCTGGCATTTTTTAGACACATTGATTGCTCCAGATTTCCTTCTTCGGCAGTCAGGGCTATGTTAAATGTCTGGTTCCATTGAGGTTGTTTGAAAAAAGCATCAAAATAAGATTGCTGTTCCATTGGAGTTCCACATCCACTCATATTAAAAGTACTCACGTACTCGTGAGAGCTTCCGCTTTTGTTTGCACCTGCTTCCCCCGCATCCGCTCCCCTTTCTTTGTTTTCTCTCGTCGAAATTAGTTTTTGCTTTATGTTTTTCGCTGTGTCCATATTAAATTTCTTATTGTGGTTTTTATTAGGATAAAACAAAACCGATTCTTTACAGCATGAATGGACTTGATCTCGAGCTGGCGAAGAGACTTGTGTTGACTTTAGATTGAAACTTGAGTGACAATGTTTTGTTACTTTATCTAATTCTATGTTGACAGTATTTCCATCTAAATTATTTTCTTGCTTGAAAAGGTGATCCGTTTTTATAGTCTGTGACCTGGTATTATCGTTGTATTGTTTATCGTTGATCATATCAATTTGTTCATGTCGACATGGGATTAAAGCAACTTTATAGTTTGGGGTTGTTGATTCGAAGTTCAAAAATATTTCTTCTGTTTCCAAATGATCGCTTCCTACCCAGCTGAGTACGATGGAACTAGAACTACTTGAGGACAGACTCGTATGAATTCGTTTCTCTACCTCACCTGTTAGTGTGATATCATTTTCAGCGTTAATTTTATCTATTGCCGACTGGCTCAAAAACATGTCCGATATTCGAATATCTGGATCTACGTCTTTTTTTTCTGTTGCGTTCTTTGTTATCTTTGAAAAGTTTAAATGTATGCAATCATTATAAAGTTCATGTTCACTAAATTTGATGTCATTAGTTTCAGGTAAAACCAAAGAAGTAAGGGGGGACTTTTTAATTATCGTTTTTTTTGGTTGCTTCAAATTCTCAACATTCAATAAAAGACCCTCACGGTGGCTATATTCGCCTAATTTCTCATTAAGCGCATTGCTTTGTAAATCGCAACTAGAATTAGCGAAACACTTGTGATTTAAAGGTTTTGCTTCAGAGCTTTGTACTTGAATTTTACACACATTCTTCTTTGAAATATGGGAGGTGGACTTGATATTAATTTGATCCGATGACTTGGACAAGATACTGGATTGGATGGAGGGATTTCTTCGGCGTGTAGATTTATTTTTAATGACATGACTACCTTCTTCTAACACCGCTTGAAGCTTCTCTTCCTCCTCACTTGACTGAGTCGCTATAGTTGATGGCTTAGACAAAGATTTTGAAACCTTATTAAAAAGCGGGTTAAAACACCCATTATCATCGATCTTTTGAAGATATTCCTCGAGCTTTGAAAGACGCTTTTCACCCCCTGTGTTAGAGTGTCCAAGATGGATATCTTGATAAAAGCTTTTTGTGTTGGCCAATTGATTGGGAAAACTGCCATTGTTTTCTCTATGCAGCTGACTTTCGTTTGATGAAGGATCCATAACAGAACTTTGGATTCGCCGAACTTTACGGAATGTTTTGCTAAAACTGCTTTTCTTTCTAGGAAATAATGTATTTGTAACGGATTGGTTTTTTACTTTAGGGAGGTCAATGTTTGTTAAGGCTGTGTTAAGTATAGTCTCTAAATCTTCTGTTTTCACTTCCTGCTCCACACTTCTTCCTCCGTCTACAATCTTCTGTTTGTCTAACACATTTTCCGACATGGCACGTTTCAACTGAATTCTGTTCTTTAATTTATCATTTAAAATAAGATTTCCACTGTGAAACTGTTTTAAATTATGTCTTGTTTTCATCAATGAATCCTTGAGCTCTTTATATATTCTTGGATTATTTTGACTCATCCTTCTGATTTCAATATCACGAAACTGTTCGCGTTTCATACAATTAAGAGAATCATCTGAAGTCTCGTACTCACTGAAAGTCTCAAGACAGTTTTTTACACTAGTTGAAGTTCCATTACGTGCTTCAGTATTCTTTGAATGTTTTAGTGTTTCCTGGGAAATTTCGTTAGAAAGTGTTCCATCAAAATGCACCACAGATTTAATACTTTTGGTGTCCTCCACAATGTGTTGGGTTTCTGATTTACTGATGTCGTTTTCCTTACGCAAATTGCTCTGATCAGCTTCTTGATGCATTTTTTTTTGCTCATTTTCAACTTTGATCTTACTTTGAATACAGCTTAACGAACTATTTTGCTGTGTATCTTTAAGTTTAGTCTGTTGTACTTTATTTTCAACCTGTATGTTTTCTTCATTAACTTGGAATTTAGACTTTTTTTCATTATCTCCAAGTGTTGCCTGTTGTTTAGCATCTTCAACGTATGTATTTCTCTGGGTGGCAATTGGTAGGTCTATACCATTATCTAATGTGATGGCGGAATCACCGGCAATAAAAGTGGCGTGACGCTTGAGGGCAGTGTTGGTCAGAGTTGTAAGAGGCGTCTTGGTATATTGTTTTAGAGAAATGCCAGTGTTTAGTTGACCCTTGTCGTTCTTAATACTGTCACAACCACTAGCCATTTGACATGTTTCACGTGCTTGATTCATGTCAATTAAAGCTCCCTGGCCATTAGTAATACCAGTATTGACACAATTCTGCTGTAACCAAGGTAGTCTATTCATTGCCCCGTGTTTGCTTTCCTTCTTAAAACAGTTACTTTCTAAATCATGATCAAACTCATTTTTTCCACTTGCATCAACATGTTTATCTACAGTATTTAAATGGCTCTGCTCTTGATGTTGATCAAACAAACTGATTTGACTGTCATTTGTTTTTATTTGACGGGAATTAAGTGGATTCCCACAATCGTGAATTAATTGTAAATCTGAATTCAATGGCGTCAAGTGGTCATGACTTTGATGTTGATCTACGCTCCATGTCTTTAAAGGCTTGTAGATTTGATGTGTCCCAGGTAACGTACTGGCAATCAGGAAAGGAGGCAATATATTGTGATTCAATTCTGTTTCTTGGGTGTCTAAGTTTTGTTCTGACATAGGCAAGTCGGCTGCTAGATTACATGCACCCACAACTTGATCTGAGTACTCACTGCTAGTTTTGCCCTCAGCATCAAAGGTTAAGTGCGAGTTGCTTCTAGAACTCGAGCCATTGGTGAAAGATGTGACCTGTATTGTTGTCTGAACACTGGAGGTTAGAATCAACACATCATGCTTAGATAATGACACGTGTCCTGTAGAGGATTGAGCCAGCACTATCGGAGCGTTAGTAACGTGAGGGAATGGCCTAGTTTGGTCATGTATAGATAGAAAATTTTGAAGAGAATCAGAAGCATTTAATTCTTTTAACCTGTTATAATCCTCTTGGGAATGAAGTACTGGATACAAAATTTCATCTCTATCTTTTGTCACCACGTGTGTTGCTTTCTTATTACTGTTTTGTAATTCGCTACTGTTCATAAAATAATTGACCAGACATGCATTGGACTCTTTGAAAATATTTCTTTTAAACTCATCACTTGGACCAATTGCTTGTTTAGAAGTGGCTAGTTTTATGTCACATCCATCGTTAGATAAACAGTTAGATTTTGACGAATCTTCTGATTTGGCATGATCTTTATTCACCATTTGGTGTTTGTCGCCATTAGTTGGATCAACTCTGAACAGTGCAGCCAAGTCATCGGACAGACTTGAGTCGGTACCAGTATGTAGAACAGCTTCGTTGGAGAAAGCAGATATACCACGAGGTCCTTTTGTAGTATCTTTGATGTCATCTCTGTTGCATGCTTCAACCAGCCAGTCTTTAAGTACTAATACCTGTTGGCGCGAGCTTTTCAAACGATCTTTGTAATCGCCAACTACAAGTGAGAAGCTTGGCTCCGACTCTAATGTACAGTAGCCAGATATGGGCGACTGACTGACGTGTTGGAAGCTCTTCTCATTAGAAACCAGTTCAGGTTCATTCTCTCCGACATCGCAGTTTGAAAAGCCGGTTGTGTTCTTTCTATTGCTATCAGTCAAATCTTTTACACGTGTTGCTTTAGGACTCGATGTCAAAGTACACGTCTCATTTGCAGAATCATCTTCAACGCTGTTATTTTTTGCCGCCATTCCTGTTAAAATACATGCTCTTTTTATTGAACAGCTGTCGAGTGTTTCTTTATTTCTAGAGCTTTGAGCAAGTATTTGGTTAGATTCGAAGGTTGTTTTACTTTGTACCGCATCAGGTTGTGATCTTGCTTTTTCACAGTGGTTACATGTCTCTTTTATGGCTAAAACGTGAACTTGCCTGTCAACGGGCCGACTTTTCTTCGATACTGGCTGATCTGTGTAGGCTGTTTGAGTCATGACAAGTTGGGTATCGCTGGCAGAGAATCCTGGATGGACATAACCTCTGTTTGTACTTGATAACATGCAGGTAACTTTTGAGCCCGATAGTGTTTTATCTTGTTTGTTGAATAAAATTCGATTGTTTGGATCTTTACATTCGGCTTGGGTTAAAAGTTCTTCTTTATTGTGCATTTGCGCAATGAAAGGATGACATTTGTTAAATTGAACACATTTTTTAAGGCACGGCGACAAGTTATGGCTTATAGCTGTCTCTTCAGGGCACAACAAGTTATGGCTTATAGCTGTCTCTTCAGGGCACAACAAGTTATGGCTTATAGCTGTCTCTTCAGGGCACAACAAGTTATGGCTTATAGCTGTCTCTTCAGGGCAAGGCGACATGTTATGACTTACAGCTGTCTCTTCAGGACACAAGTTATGGCTTATAGCTGTCTCTCCAGGACAAGGCGACATGTTATGGCTTATAGCTGTCTCTCCAGGACAAGGCGACATGTTATGGCTTATAGCTGTCTCTTCAGGGCAAGGCGATATGTTATGGCTTATAGCTGTCTCTACAGGGCAAGGCGAAATGTTATGGCTTATAGCTGTCTCTTCAGGGCACAACAAGTTATGGCTTATAGCTGTCTCTACAGGGCAAGGCGAAATGTTATGACTTATAGCTGTCTCTTCAGGGCAAGGCGAAATGTTATGGCTTATAGCTGTCTCTCCAGGACAAGGCGACATGTTATGGCTTATAGCTGTCTCTACAGGACAAGGCGACATGTTATGGCTTATAGCTGTCTCTACAGGGCAAGGCGAAATGTTATGGCTTATAGCTGTCTCTACAGAGCATGGCGACAAGTTATGGCTTGGAGCTGTATCTTCAGGATACGACGAAAGGTTATGGCTTGTCTCGGTGACATTGCGAAGCTGTATTTTACTGTGACGTTTGATGCGATTGATCAGTTCCTGAAGACTGTTTTCTACCTGAAAAAAACGAGAATTGCTATTAGGACCGATTAGCTTAGAGCAATTAAAAACGTTCCTTTTTGTGCACGGTTTGAGCTTTCGATGGAATTTCTCGTCTGTCATTCTGACGGCCACCATTTCTGGAATCCTATCATTTTCTGTTGACTTGGCTTCCTTGCAATTAAGAAAACTTTCCCCGCAATTCTTAATACTGTGCTTATCTTGTTTATTGCTCTTTCTTTTCACACATTGTTTATTATCATTCTGATGAGTAACTTTTTTGCTGATGTTGACACGGCTGGAGTTAGCAATCGTTGGCTTACATAAATGTTGGTCATTAGGTTGATCACTCACGCCACTGTCACAACGAGTGGTACTGGGTTTGACATTAGGTAAAATTGTTTTCTCTTTAGCTGTGCTTTGAGTAGTTATTGCCTGTGATTTGGACTTTTCCAAACGCCTAGACTGGCTTGGCTTTTGAAGCCTTGAAATGGAAGCCTTAATTATCTTTTGTCTTTCGGTCAGCGGCTTGTCATATGATTTGCTGTCAACATCGCCGGTTAGCCGAAGTTTCGCTAGGTCAAGGGACTTCTGTCTCCAATTAAGCCTTTTTTCACTTTTCATATGCTCTGTATTACTAAAAGATTTTTGTCTTAAAAGTAATGTTGAGGATTGAAAAGGATTTCTTTGGCACATTTTCTTCTCTGTCTGCGCCATGCTAGTATTTACCATTTCTTTGTTTTTTTTAATGAGGATCTGCAAACGTTTTTGAAATTTGGATGTGCCTTTCCAACTGATACTGACATTGTTTGTTTCTTGTGATTTATGCTGAAGCGTGTAGCTAGCGTCATCCGTTAATTTATTAGTACCGAATTCATTTTTCTCTGACATAACTAGTGCAATCTGAGATTTGTCTTCGTTGACAGATTGTTTTGCTATTACACGACTAGAAGCTGAATCGAAATTTATTTCTTCTTGAGGAGGAGATAGTATCGATTTTTTAATTGAATCGAGTACACCCACCTTACATGAAAGGCTGTCGTTTGATGTCTGAGCAGAGTAGTTTTGTGCTGGTGTCTGAACAATTGTCTTAGAAGTTGGCATTTGTTTCTTTATATCTCGAGACTTCGGGCTTTTGAGTACTGCTTTAGCCTTTTCCAACAGAGATAATAAATCCGAGCTGGGTGTTCTAGAAACAACAAGTGGCGCTGTATTTTGTTCTCTCATACTTGGACAATGCGGCGTTGTATTTTGTTCTTTCATACTTGGACAATGTGGCGCTGTATTTTGTTCTTTCATACTTGGACAATGTGGCGTTGTATTTTGTTCTTTCATACTTGGACAATGTGGCGTTGTATTTTGTTCTTTCATACTTGTACAATGTGGCGCTGTATTTTGTTCTTTCATACTTGTACAATGTGGCGCTGTATTTTGTTCTTTCATACTTGGACAATGTGGCGCTGTATTTTGTTCTTTCATACTTGGACAATGTGGCGCTGTATTTTGTTCTCTCATACTTGGACAATGCATAAGAAAATCTGATTCCCTCCCCTCACTGATTTGTACCTCCAATGGCGCAGGATCTCTGGAAGTTATATTAGATAGTGATGTAAACATAGCATTGCCATCACTCGCGATGTTTGTAATGTTAAAACTTAACGATTTATTCACTTCCGGCCTGGTTGTTGAGTCCAGTTTCCATTGATTTGATTCAGCCGGTGAAGTTTGTTTTTCTTTGCTATTGCAAGCTGCTAATTCCAAATTGCTAAGAAGTGTGGCATCACGAGGATATATGACAGCTTGCATTTTCTGATAGGAGTTGGGTCGTATTGGGCTAGCTATCGAATGTGTGTGGCTTTGTTTAGACTTCACAGGGCTAACTTGAGATAGTAAAGGGATAACTTTAGGTAGTGCATGGCTAACATTAGATGGTTCAGAGCTTGCTTTAGATGGTGTATGGCTTTTAGACTGAACAGGATTGACGGTAGATGGTGTAGTAATAACTTTAGTTGGTGTAAGGCTGAATTTATACTGAACAGGACTAACTTTAAACTGTGCACGGTTGGCGTTAGATGGTGCAGGACTAGGGTTAGATGGTGAAGGATTAATTTTAGACTGTGTAGGACTAACTATAGACTTTGCAGGGCTAATGTTAGATGATGCAGGACTAACTTTAGACTGAACAGGACTAACTTCTACCCTGCGAGCGAAAATTGTATTGTTGCCTCCATTACGCCGCAGAGTACCAGATAGACAATGTATTTTCCTCTGAAATTCATTGTGTTCTATGACACTTTTGCTCGGAGATTTCTTGTGGGTTATTGTTTCTTCGCTATTTTCTTGCTGCATTTTGGACTCATCAGAACTGAGATGATCTTGTAAAAGAACGTTGGCAGAGCTCGCGTTTTCTTGGCCCTCACTCTCCATGCTCACACACAGTTCTTGTTGCGCGCAATGTAAAAAGCTTGGTAAACGGATAGAGCTCTTTGCTAAATCAGGAACGAGGTTCTCTGAACTATATTTGTTTGTTTCTCTGGATTTTGTATTTTTTTCCGAAGGAGGAGATTTTGTTTCTAATTGTTCCAGTTGTCTTGGACTTTCCGTATCCACGAGTAATTGATCTTTACTTTTTTCTTGTACGTGTTTAATTTCTTCCTTGTCGTGGATATCTTGGGAGGATACTACGTTTGCGTATGGCTCAAACGTACTATCTTTCGTACACACATCTTTATCTTCTGATGGATGCGGCATCGGCTTGCCTTTCTTTTTGCTAACTTGCATGTCTAGATCGCGCTTCATGTTTTTTAAAACTCCTTTTTTCCATCTCCTTACATCTGCCTTTTGAACTAAATTATATCTTTTGACCTTGTTTTTAGCAACATCTGGTTTATTAGAAGAGCAAAGTTTATGGTTAGATAGCCCTAAATTGTATTTCGTAAATTCCCGTTGAACATTGTTTTTTACCTCCTCTACTTTCTCCTTTTTTTCTTTCTCTCTTTTTGAACTATCGATACTTGGTTGCATCTTCAAAACCTGGGTGCTATCTTTAGAATCAGGTTGGCTAATGAGATGGTTCAGTATTTTGCCTGCAGTTACTGGTGGAACATTTGAATTTTTAATTCCAGTTCCAATAATATAACTATGAGTCACTTCTTTTGATGATAGGGTGATAGACGGGTTGATAGAGTCTTTTTGATTAATACCTTTAGCTTGAAAATGTGAACTTGGGCTGGCCTCGTCATAAACTGTATAGGATTTTGAAGCATTAGCTTTGAAAATATAGTCGTTTTCTAATAAATGACACGTATGATTGTCGATATTGGATTTGGCTTTTACAGTTTCTTGTCGTTTTTTTTCAGCCTTTTCTATATTGTTTAAAAATGAAGACAACTTTGGAAACACATCGGCTGTCTGTCTTTTGCTTATCAACTCTGGCGCCTGGTGTTGGATCCCACAGCTTTTGTGGACAGACGTGTCTGACGATAAAGTGTATGTTGGAGGTAGATAGCTTAACTTATTTGTAGGTATTTTACATTTTAAATTGGAAATTTCGGACACATTCTCTCTATTTTTCTTTTGTTCGTCAAGCATTGCCATTTGGCTGGCTTTTCTGGCTTGAAAATCTTTACAACGAAGGGGAATCTTTGAAAATCGGCTTGTGAACAAAAGCCCTTTTTCCCATGTACCAAAATGAAGATCATTTTGTCTTTCAGCTGTTGAGACTACATAATCTTCATTGAATGTCTTCTGTAAGCTCAAACTTGTCATCTCTCTTTGATCATGAAGGGCATGCACTGGGTCATGTTGATACAAAGATAAGAGCGATTCTACCATGTGGATGCTCTCTTCGTGTCTGGACAGGTTCAATGTCCCCATTGACTTATATGGTCTCTTTACACCTCGCGGCATGTTCCCTCCATGACAAACGTTTTTATGTTCCAAGGCATACCGCAAGGTTTTATGATAATCAAGTACGCCATTAGAACCCGTTTCAGAGACCTCATTTAACATTGTTGTATCACTTGGTTTATTAATATTTTCAGTTACATTTTCTTCTTCTTTCTTTTTAGTGTTTTGATAACTAGCATCTCTTCTTGAGGTCGTAAGTCTTTTTGGTTTTAAAAAAAGAGCGTTTGGATCACTTTGATGCGAATGATCTTTAACTTTGATTTTATTAGTATGCGTGCTTTCTTTACCGTTCATTTTAGAAGTCTTTGTATTATCTTCTAGCAGTGATCGTGTATTGGTACAACCAGCAATAACACAGTCTTGTATAACTTTTTTAAGTTCCTCAACTCTGTCTTTCTTGCTATACACCCCAGCAGCACCCAGTTCAACGCTGAAGCTTTCTAAATGTTGGCTGCTCTTTTCTTTGTTTGTCTTTTTTGTATTTGTCCTGCTGAGCGGCATTTTATTGATATCTTCATATTGCAATATTCCGTTTCTTAAAGATGGTATCTTTGTAACTATTTTTCCCTGCTGTAATTGAATATGTGTGAACGCTGACCGTGCCGGAGAAAAGGACCTTTCGGCGTTTAGAATGTCTTGGGTTTCTGGATGAAATTTATCGACTGGGGATTTCATATCAGCTTTTTTTTTTATCTTTCTTGTTCTTTTTTTTGTTCTGGTAGTTCTCGACGATGTGTATTCATTTCCAGTCTCTTTCTTTTTTGTTCCTTTAGTTTTTTCACAAGGCACAATTGTATTGTCATGATCATCTGGTTTAACTAACGCATTCCTGACAACAGGGATTTCACGATTTAAAGATGAATTAGTTGCTTTAAACATATCTACCAAGAGAAATTCTGATTCATCTCCACTCTTTTCAAAGAGATCTTTTGAAGCAAATCTTTTTTGGGATTTTGAAAATATACTGCGCATTGCTGTAATAGGTTGCTCTACATTTTTAATTTGGTTTTGATCTTTAATGCGTTCGTTAGAGTATGCTTGCTTTTCCATGCTTAAATACAAAAAGTTGTCAGTCTTTCGATTGGTGAAATTCTCCTTTTTTTGCTCTTTTTTTTCGCCCATTAAGCACAGCTCCCCTTTGGTCGAGTGTACTATATGCAGTGAAGAGCCTTCGATCGTCGACCACATAGTACTAGCGGGAGAGGTAAACACTTCAGGAGCTTGCTTGGTTGGGAGAGCCTGCAGTGACATACTAGAACGGAACGGCTCTGTGTTTGATCTCTTAATATTGCTTACTCTCTCTATTTGCTCGGAAAGGCTTGTAGTTACAGCAAATGTGGGTTCATTAGTATGTTGGGAATGATTGGGTCCATTTGTGGTGTGACTGGAAGATCTCTGAGTCAACCTATCAAGAAGTGGAGCATCCGAGCACCTGTCAACACAAATACATCAGAAGAATACTAAAACAAGTTAGTAATATATCTACCTCTAATAACATCAGATAATCAATTTGAACACAGACAAACAATATTAAAATTGCGTTAAAAATTTCAAATATCCTTATTTTTAAACTTAGGTATTAAGCCGTTGAGGGAAAAATACACCGGGTGCTAAGCTGAGAATTTTTCTTGTTTTCTCTTCCACCCTGCAGTGACCGAACATGTTTTACGGTTTTATTATCATAAATTACACACGCATCGTTGTATTTTTAAACTTTGTTGAGCATTTAACGTCAGACTTACATTTATTATTTATTCTTTAATAATTCGTGTTCATATTTAATTATATAATATGAAATATATTCTATAATAAACCGGGAGTGATCTCCCCTAAACTTTCTCGAATATTCTTATATAACACTGCGGGGATTGGTAACTCGGGATATAGACATGATTTTAAAAGCTTTTATTTAACTTGCTTCCTCTGTCTGTCGTCGGTCGTAAGTCTGTCTGTCTAGATCGAAACGCCCGAGCGAAAATTCGGACACTTCTAAATGACAGAAACGGTTCAAAGTTGTCACTTTTTAGTGCATTATTACATGAAAGCTTGTTATTAAAACTTTTTTTTTTGATTTTTTAAAAATCCTCACTGTCTCGAAACGCCCGAGGAAAATTTCGGACAATTCTAACTGACAGATTTGTTTCAACGTTGGCAAGTAGGTCAAGACATGAAGACAATGCAACATGACATTACATTTGACTTAATTGCAGTGGCGTAGCTAGGATTTTTGGGCCCCTATGCAAAAATTACCAGTGGGCCCCTTCGTCAGCCGTTAGGCTACAATGGAGTTAAACGAAGAAATCAACTGCTACTCATGATAAATAAATAATATAAATATTCTGTAATTTTATATTTTATACTATATTATTATGTATTTTTAAAAATGTTACGGCCTACAGTTAATTTGTTTTTTCAAGTAATCAAATACAGTAGCGTGATTTAAGACAGGGGCAGAGGTGCGGTCCGCATTTGATGACAATATTTATACCTGACACTTTGACAAAACATTATAAAATTTATTGTCAAAGCTGTGTTGTATCCAGCTAAAATACTAAAAGATTAATGAGAGTGGGGTGAAATGCAAAATGCTGGGAATGATAGGGTGACACCTTTAGTAAACGCGTAGGGTAACACCCGACTTTTTGACGCCACTAACCAAACACAATTTTAAAAAATTGCTCATGATTTATTTAGATCTGGTTTTTTTTCATACTTTTAATTTTATAAAATGGTTAATAAGTTCATTGAGATCTACTTTAGCTGCTTTTGTATGTTTGATGCTTAGGATAGCCAAGCTACAGACCGAATGGGCATATCTACAATTTGTTTCATAATAAATAACATCATCATAATGAGCAAATAATTACATTTAAAAAGTCCATCATGAACATCAAAATCTCCTTCCCGATCTCCGTGGAATGTTAAAGAATGTTTAAACTAACTAGCGTACCCGTCCGCGTTGCTGCGATCTAGTCCCACATACTATGGTAACAAAACTATTTGTAAGGGTTTCATCAACGTGTTACCAAGTGTGTATTTTTAGTCGTGTGAACTTGTTTTTTAAAACTCTCTAATGGTGAGGTTGAATACTTTTCGGCGACCGCCTGGGTGCCAGGGGCGTCGCTGGAGTGACTGGTTACACTGCCGTAGGTAACCGGATGCAACCTTTGGTTCGTTTTATTCATCGAACGTAGAGGCCCACCGTGTCCCTAATGTAGAATAATCGTGTAATTGGTGTAAAAAATTGTCACCCGTACACCGAGGGCGTCAAAAGCAGCCCCTCTTGCAGTTTGACCATTGAATCAAGTAGTACCTTGCAGGATGCCCAATCTACGGATCTCGTGCACACAGGTAGCCGCTTGGGAACTCGGGGCACCCATCCGTTACTACTGCTGATGCGCTGGGGGACACCCCCTTCATTCGATTAAGTAATCAATGTTAGTATTTCAACGTATCCCTAGTGTATTGCGCTCATTAAAATAGGCGCCGTAGTGCTCATGCGGGAGCCTGGGACGCACAGGGTTACCCCACCGACGGGTGCCGGACACCCAATCAACGGACCCCAGGTGGAAAAATAGCCGATGGGGAACTATGGTTGGCAAACTGCACCGCCTTACTGAAAAAATATATACATTTAATGGCAGAAACCTTCCCACAAATCGGAGTTTCTTTCAGGCACGTTTTCAGAAAAAAAATGTATGGGAAAAAATACTTCCTTTGGAGTATTCTCAACGACGTTCCAAAGTTTCTTGGCGATTGGATGAAAACCAAAAACGTATAGTCTTAGTAGCGCCATATTGATTAAAGATTAATTAGATCGACTAATGAAATGTCATTAATTAAGGTAAACAAAAACACTTGCAAATGTTGGACTCAGCTGGTTGTGAAAACACTATCCATGGTAATTTTTTTTTTAATGGCTCAATTATTTGCATGGATGTTTAGTAAGATAGAATTTCGTGGAGGGCAGACAGTTTAGAGATGGGTTCAGGTCTCTGGTGTGGGGTAGGGAATTTCCCAGTTAGTTGAGGTTTGTAGCAATGCACGAAACTTTACTGATGCTGTATGCCGAATTCACAAAAGAGTCAGTTCAAGTTTATTTATAGGCTAATTCTCTCAATGGCTTGCACGACCATGTGGCAACGCCTGAAGTGATATTATTACGGATTGGCCCTGTTCGACCCCCCCCCCCACACACACACACACTGAATCCCACTACTTGTAAAGTAAGGAATGTCTAGGGGCCTTTTGATTATTTCTATAATAGAAAAGAAACTTGATTTTCATTTTCTCTTAAAACTATTTATATAAAACATATAATAAAATTGCAATGTAAAAGTTTTAATTTTTGTAAGAGGGAAAAGGGCCAACTACTCCGCACTATTATACACGAGTCATCACGTTCATTAGGTCATCATTATTCCTTTGTGGCCCCTGGGGAACAAAGGGCTGCAACTACACATTTCCAGCAGACTCGTTTTGGGCTGCTACCTTAATCTGTACCCATGTGAGCCCAACTGTTTCTGCCTCTTCCTCAACAGTTCTTTTCCATGTTTCGCTGTCTGTGTATCTATCTATCTGACAAGAACGCTCTGTCTGACAAGAACGCTCTAGAGAAAACATAAGCAAAAATTCTATCTGAGAAGAACGCTATAGAGAAAACACAAGGAAATTAAAAACATGCATAGTATTTCGAAAGACGAAGTATGACGTCGACACATTTAGCATGGAGTTGAAAATAATCTCAAGGCGGAAAGTGCACACAGTAATATAATGACGTCATTGATTATCGCGTAAACATTGAATACAAAGGAAATGTTGTCTAATCTAAATGGTTTGCGTGAAGAGTTTCTTGCATACAATTCTTCGGGTAGGGGCGAAGCCCCACCCCACGCGTAAGAACGTCTGAGCCCCCCCCCCCCCTCCCCAACTCAAAAGAACTTTCTTCATCGATACTCTATAATAAAATTACCGCCTAATTAATGTGTCTAATCTAAAAAGTGGTTTTCTTGCAATTTCTTTAATGCAATTCTTCGGGTAGTGGCTAAGCGCGACACCAGTGTTTCTTTCAGACTTTTTTCTCCCTGGAGAGGGGTGGGGGTACTTGGAATTTTCGGGGGCGGGTGTAGAATTTTCGGGGAGGGGGCGGACACTGGAAAAAGTATATAATTATATTTCGTTGAATGGGACGGTAGACATGTTTTTTTAGGGGGGGGGGGGGTGGGTGGGGGGTGGGGGTGAGTGGGGGGGGGGGGGTTTAATTTAGACTTTTTCCTCCCCGGAGAGTGGTGGGGGTACTTGAAATTTTCGGGGGCGGGTGTAGAATTTTCTGGGAGGGGGCGGACACTGGAAAAAGTATATAATTATATTTCGTTGAATGGAACAGTAGACATGTTTTTTGGGGGGTGGGGTTGGGGGGGGGGGGGTTGGGGGGGGGGGGGTTGTGTGTTTTGGGGGGGTGGGGGGTGGAGGTGGTGTGTGGGGGGGTGGGGGTGGGGGGGGGTTGGGGGTGTGGGGTGGTGTGTTTTGGGGGGGTGGGGGGTGGGGGGGGGGTTGGGGGTGTGGGGTGGTGTGTTTTGGGGGGGTGGGGGGTGGGGGGTGGAGGTGGTGTGTGGGGGGGGTGGGTTGGTTTTAGTTTAGAGAAAAGAGACAGCACTATCAACCTAGCGCCCGGTGTATCCTTCCTCAACGGGCCATTTTTCTCGTGATGCAATATGCATCATTGTTTCTGGATGCTATGTGTCGCTCTGGGTTATCCTGTTAGCACATTGCGGTAGTGTTATTGTTTCTGATACATGGGTGGTCACGAAGTGTGTTCTACCTCATTATTATTCCGTGAGTGATTAACGAACATTCAATGATTTCATTTGGTAGAGTAGGTAAACCCGTGTCCCGATAATTATGATCCAAGTGCAGGCATTGTTTACATTTAAATAACTCATTTTTAGAAAAGAAGGTCACGCGTCTAAGAACATATGATTGGTAACGCGTTGGTGAAATCCTTCTAATATATTTCATCAAACTTTCTTCTATCCCCATAGCAGGTCTTGCAATATTTTCTTTTTCTCTTCTTAACGTGTGTCCGATCCATCACCATTTACGGGCCTTGATATCCTTTTCTATTGGCTGTTGCTTTAAAATTTGCTACAGGTCTTTTTTTGTATATTTTGTCTGGCCATCTTATTTTAAGTATATACCGTAAGCATTTGTTTATGAACGACTGTAGCCTATCAGTATTTGTCTTTGAGACCCTCCAAGTCTCCGCGCCATAGAGCAATACAGCCTTGACATTTGTGTTGAAAATCACAATTTGGCTCAGGAGTGACATGGCCGTGCACCTCCACATCGGGCGCAGTGAGTTGAAGGCACATCTAGCCTTGTTGATACGGCATTTTATGTCCTCGTCTGCACCTCCGTCCTTATTGATCACGC